GCCGTGTAAAAACAAAAAAATTTATTAGAAATAAGGTGATATAAGCACACAGTAATCATTTAAAAGCAGCAACTTATGTGCTGCTCGTTCATAGTCTGCTTCTGTGTTTTTATTGCAGCTAGCTACTTTCTTGTTGTGCTGACCGTGCTGCTTCGCCAGCTGGTGGTCAGCCTGCTGGTGAATCAGGCGTTCGATTCGCCTCCTGACTGGGATTACTAATTCATCACTTTTCTCGACAGAAGCGCCTTTTTGTACTCTTAGTCGTTAAAATGAAATTTGAAAAGGAATTCAGTTGATGCCGAGTCCCGGTGCTTCCTCCATTCCACTGTCCTAGCACTGCGCACCTAATGAGCTGCTCAAAATTCGTTTGTGGCGAAAGTGGAGTTCTCAGATTCGGACTGAAAAGCACGCTGCATTAAATTTGGTTAAATTTCTTTAAAATGATGATGTCCCAGAATGAGGGACATTTTTTCTTTATGGCACTGACGTGATTGCTGGGGATGTTGAAGTTTTTTTTTTTGTACTGCAAATGTATCTTTTACAGATTGGTGGTGTAGGAGCAGGCGAAACCAGAGCTTCTCCAGCAGGTACTTTCTTTTCTTTGCCAGATACTCTGATAATTTGGTCAGCCGTAGTTTCTCATCCAAGTTATTGATGAATTTCTTTGCTTGATAGAACCGAACATCTACATTTTGGTGACTGCTTTCCTGGCGCTGTTTCTCAGTAGGCATGTGCGAGAGGGCAAGGAAAGGGAGTGCGAAGGCGGGGGCAGAAGAGGGAAATGCACTGGCTAAAAGTGGCTGAAATTCGATCCCTTTGTTAGGCAGTCACGCTGAGGCTCCCTAATCAGTGACCGAAAATGCAAATACCGATAAGTTACTTGAATATGAGAATAAGCTGTAGTTACTTGAATATGAGAATCTGAGAAGTTGCAAAAAATGAAGGGTTTTTTTCAATTTTGAACATTTTGCAGTTTCATTATCGTCAGCATCAACGGCATATAGCTATGACCGTGGCACAACACAAGCTGTTAGTAGAGGCGGCCAGCGAATAACATTTGTGCGAGTGCCTGCAGTAAGTGGCATTAATTATCACATTTATTATATTAAAGGTTTTTTTATGAAATAACTGTCCAGTTGGCGAATATACAAAGGCTGTCTAAATCTACACCCAAAAAACAAATACCTGCACACACGCACTTCATGCAGTCCTATTCAGCGGAAGTTTGCTGTTGAAAATGTTCGCTGCTTTATTGCTTGATATGTGTAGAAATCGTCGAAATATTTTGATCGGCCAAAACTTGTGAAACATAAACAGAAGTTGAATTTAGGGAAGTATTGAAGCTTCGGTTTTCTGTCTTGTCTGTTTTTTGGTCTAGAAAATTCCTCGGCAAAACATTCACGCACTCGTACTTGGGGTTTGGATATACGTAAAAGTTATATCTGAAGTTTTTGATGACTCACATGGGTAAGTAACATCCTCCGGAAATCTCAGCTTCCCCGCCATAACCTACACGTACCGTAGGTGAGAAGTAGGCATGCGTGGAAGCCAAATTTAAGTTTCTAAAATCGCACATAGGCATGAAATATCCTTCCGGAATTTAGCTTCTTTGCTTTTCTAGTTCCGAATTACCAGATTTCCTCACCAAGACTTAGACATAAGAATTTAAATTTAATTGATTATACGTGGAGATGAAGCGTCCTCCTAAAATTTCAATTCCCCTGCGTTTTTTGGTCCTTAAGTTGAAAATCCGGTTATAATACGCTCGGACACACACACACAAACAAACAAACACACACACACATAGACGGACAGGGTATACGTTGGGCGCAGCTTTGTCAGGCTCTTGTGTTTAGAACGGTACGCCGTTTTATTAGTATGCGGCACCTGCGCTATGTTCGCATGTCAACTCCTTGGTGTGTACACTTATTTTAGAGTTAATTTTTATGTGTCTTTCCTGTGCAGCGCTGGAGCGCTGCAACAAGTAGCAAAAATGCATTGTGCGGTGATCGTCTCTGTGTGTATGTTTATGTATGCGTGTATTTGTTTGTCCAGGTATTTTTACTTAACAGCCGCGCAGGCTTTGATGCTGAAATTTTGCCAGTGTATTCCCTGGTCAAGCGAGATCTCAGGAACGTGATATCAACTGTCACGCACGTTTACGTCTCATGTACAGACATTTAAAAATTTTAACGAAAAAGCCACTAACTCGGGAACGAGAAAGGCTAAAAAAACTGAAGTTTTGAAAGATTGTTTCTTATGTACGACTGAAAGATTTTAAATACAGCTCTATAGAACCTCCTAGATCTCATATGCTTGCACGTGCAAATCATGGCGGAAAAATTGCTAACTCAGGAACGAGAAAAGCTAGGAAGCTAAAACTAGAGGAATGCTCCCTACTCATTTTTGACTGAATAGTTTCAAATTCGGCTCCTTAGAACCGTCCGGGTCTCACGTACAGGCACGCTTCCCACGATTACTCGTATCTGCATTACAGCATTATACGAGCGATATTCGCTTCCGCCGTAGCAAAAGCAGTGTCTACAAGGAATGGTTGTATTCCTGATTCGGTTTTTTCGTGCACTAGCAACTTTCTATTTGTTGTTCGCCGAAGTCAACAACTGACACACCATGTAGTTTCACAGTTAACTTCCTGAGCTTCGAGGACCAGTATTTCACAAATTCTAGCTACTGGGGTTCCAAGCGATCTTACCACAGCACGAAATAAAGCAAGAACGCATGATCGCACCAGTCAACGTGGTGCGCATCGCCAGTGATTGTTGTGTTTACAATGATGTTCCGCATTCATTAGGTTGAATAACTAATTAGTTTATGGGATTTCTTTGTTTCTTGGCCTGTTTTGGCCCAGCCAGTCTTTGCTATTCTGTTTTCGTCAGTGAATTTAATGACATTAATGGGACAGGCGTGATCTTTGTGTTGAATACTTTAAGCGTATTTGAGGATATTTTGCTGAGGAATTTGAGCCATCCCCTCAACATGCTGTTACCGAACAACAACACGGCACATGTTCGTTTCTTGGTTCACATCTTCCTGCAGTTTGATCTCTCTCTTTCGCACTTCCTATGTCTGTCACTTGAATTTTGATAAGTTGAATTTTAAATACATTCTTGTTTTGTACCTTGATCCGCCTCGGAATTTTGCTCGTTAAGTGAACAAATTTTTTCCTTCCGTGCGTTTAGCTGATCTTAATTGACGTTCGAATGACCTTCCCAATTTAGCTTGTGAATTAGCGTCTTAGTGCGGTCTGTGAAAGACTGCGAGATATTCTTCGGCATACAGTCTGTTTTAGAAACAGTTTTGTGCCATGCTTCTGTATGTAGTATCAGAGTTGTACTTTGAAAAGGATTCACGCTTCGTAGTGATTAATTAAAAAGTGAAATTGCAGCGAGGAATGACCATGATGAATCAGACTGGTGCTTCTGGAGCACAGCCCTCGCCCGAACCAACATCGTTGCGTACCACACATTTCAGACCTGCGGGATATCCTCGTGGTGAGCGGCTAACCGTACAGCCTGTAAGTTTTTTTTTAATTCCGTCTTTGTGTGAGGCTTTAATTTTGCGATATGAAATTATTGACTAATCCTAGTCTGAGCAAGCAATCGTAAAGCAAAAGATTCCTGCATAATCGTAAAAAAGAAGGATAAGTGCTCTGTGGAGAGATGCAGCAAATAGTCCATAGGCGTTGTTAGGTACAAATCTCCAAAATACTTTTGATGATTGAGTCTATACTTCGGATACTTTTGATAACAGTTTTTGAGGTGATATCACTGAAACTCCACAATTCGTAAAGTTTTCCCCTGAAAGCACGGAATCTTAACGAATATGTTACAGTCTGTGAGGCGAGTACCGATTGGTGGTGGCATGCCGGGCGACCAGTTCGCTGGAACATCTGCTCAACAAACAAGCAACGAGTATCGCTTATTAGCAGAACCCGAATTATCGCCTGTGGTTTCAGCTTCAGCTGGGTATGGTTTTTAACTTCAGAATGGCGATGTATTTTTCTAAATGTCATCGAAAATTCAGTGACGAAGCTTTTGTCGCGTCTAAAGCGTGCCTGTGTTGCCTGTACGTCGTCCCTTAGTTTACTTAGTTTAGCAGTTCGTGATCGAATATCTGAGGGTTGTAAAAGTTTTTTTTTGAAAATTGCGCACGTTTCAGAAGCGGGTCTCAAATCGCAAGCGTGTCACGGCCAGCTGTGACAATACAACCACGGCAAGGTATGTCGACAGTGGTGCATCCCGTCGTCGAGCCTCAGTCACTGTCGCGTGAAGGATTTGGTGGTCCTGAGTCGAGGGTAGGTCGACATTTTCGATAAATTTAAATGATGCAGGACATGGTTAAAAGTGATGCAAATGTATACTTAGTTTTACATTCTGTTCGAAAATTTTTTTTTTTTTTTTTTGATAATACGGAGCTTCTTTACGAGTGCTTCATTTTGTAGTTTTTGTCGAAATGAAATAACATTATTGCTTCTGATTTTTTTATGCTGCTCTTTCCATTACGTTGAAATCAGCGATATGCGGGTTCGGGAGTGACATATGACGGAAGTTGTAGTGGATGCCAGCAGAGGAAGAGGGCTGTTCTGGCGAAGATGCTTGGTTTTTCGCTTCTTGACCATGTGGATGATCAGGCACTTCGTCAGGTGAATGCGATGCCAGGCATCCACGGGTGAAAAAAAATTTCCGTGAACAGGAAGTCTTGCTGTCTTTGTGACGGCCATTGTTCGTCGCAGTGATTGGTTTTGGCTTGAAAAAAAAAAAAATGTCGAACAGATGGTGCACATGCGCAGTACAGTTGCTAGATACTAACACGAATTTCTGGCAGAACTGCGTCCGACGTGTGTCTGCAACTCAAAAAAGCCAGTGCTTTTGCGTTACCGAGCTTATTATGGGCGGTTCTGGGCACATTTTTGTGGCTTTTTTAAATTATTACTTGATACTTGCGATACTCGCGTACAGACAAACCCACTATTCTGAGAGGTGATGCGCAAGCATCCTACAGGCTGTGGGTGCTGGTTGACAAAGTGCAGCTCAGGATCAAAAAACCTTGGCATAGCTACATCCAACGTGTGGGAGCATCACGGTAACATCACTGGATCTCCATGTCCGTTACTAATGGTGTGTTCATATGTGGCGCAAAATGCACGATCGTGTTTTTCTGTTCCCGGAGTTTTTTTTTTTTCTTTAAGTTTTTAAATTACTGCGAATAAAATTAATCTTACAATGTACAGTGTGAATTGCTCAAATCCTCGAAATTTTTAGCTGTAAAAATAAAGTAAAAGTTGTTGCAAAGACTTTTTCACTTACCTGGGTTAAAAAAATGAATTGGAGAATTTTTTTGTTAAATTTACAAAATTCAGTTTTTTTTGATGGCCTAAGGACTCAGAGAGAACTAGCGATATTTTATAGAAAAAAAGAAATAATCCGTTTTTTAAAATAGGCTTCTACAACTTTTCGGATTGTTAGGCCTTGGCCAGTTCATGTAACATGATGCTGTGATCGTGTGACGTTGCACCTCATTTTGTAGAATTTTAAATTCGCCGAAAAATATTCATATATTTGTAGCAATATATTTTGTATGCGTCGCTTGATTATATTTTTGAATGCCATGGAATTAAATGCAACGCATTCAAAAATTCCGTGGAACTTTTGGTTCAAAAATTTTCAACACATTTCTGGGGTTTTTGGATGAAGCGAAAGATCAGTGGTTTTAATTGATAAAAAAGTCGTTTTGTCAGGTTAATAAGAGATTTTTCAACTGCTCATTCTTGTACAACTTCACTTGGAGAAGCTGGTAATTCTTGTGCCGCTTCTCCAACTGTGCAGCTGGCAACTGTTCCAGTCGTTTTGATCAGTGCTGCATCACCTTTTGTTCAACTTGTTGGCGGCACTGATTTTTAGTTTCGTTGCTTGAAGGGTCTATCTGGTCAGTGATTCCCCGAAAGGGACACTTCGCTAGGCTATAAACCGTTTCGATATATTATTGGTGTGTTTGTGCATGTGTGTGTGCGCGTGTGTGTCTCTGTGTATATATGTATGTGTATGTCGTCTCGAATGCTTTTCACTCCTGAACCACTATGGGTCATCAGCCGGCTGCGGGGTGTACAACTCCAATTGACATTAGGAGCTTTTTTGCGTGCGTCTGCTTTTTTATTCCGTAATGAATTGTTGCTTAATTTATTTCGTTGTTGGTCAGCTGTGAGTATGCGGGCCGGGCAGGGCGTTTGCTTGAAGAGGAAGTGTGGTTTTTATGTTACTGTTTTAAAGCAAAATAAAAGTATTTGAAGGAATTATTCTGTATCGTTTTGCAAGTCACACGATCAGTCATTGTGCAAAAAATTGTTAATTAACTGCAGTAGTACCATAAAAAAGATTCAGCTAGTACAAAAACGAGTTTACAGCTGCATAAACTGACTAAGGGGATTTTGCTGGGAAGATTTCAGTGG